CCAGGATGAGGGCCGCACGTGTACCTGGAAGGTGTGCCCCAGACTCCTCATTTTGGGGAGGTTTTCTTTCTAAACCCTATGTTTCTATAATACATTCAACAGACATTCGCTACTTGTGTGACAAGGAGCATGGACATTATAAATATATTAATATAACATAATACATTATATTTAGCAAGTAATGTTACAATATATATTCCATGATCTCTATTATGTGCATATTTAAAATTGTCATATTTTAGTATAGATTTAATATAACATGTACTGATAAAGGACATCCGCAGCTGTATTACGTCAATACATGATGTATTTATAACTGTCATATTCCCTTTTACATACACTTGCCCATGCGACGGCTGAGCAACTGGGTGCTGGAGGAAAGTTCCAAAAGACATCCTCATGGCTGCAGGAGGGGGACAGGGACAGGAAAAGGGGGGCCTGAAGCGACATATTTTATTCACTCTGGTAAGGTTTTCAACAACCAACCTTTTGTGCTTCTATACTGCCCTATTTATTTATCTCTGTTAGTAAGAACTGAAGATCTTCGGTTCAGGAAAGAAGAGAAACCGAGCGCTACTGCAAGGCTTCCCAATCCCTTGGTGAGAAAACAGATCCCTGACAACCAGCACAGGGCAGGTGTCCAAGGCTGAACAGGGGCCCCTCCACAACGCCCCAAAGTCCTGCTGCTAGGGGCCCTGAGCCAAGCTCTGGCAGGCGGATGAAGTGTCAGCTTTCTGCGGCCTCTCTCCTCTCCTTCCCTTCCCACAGTAACAGCCTGGGTGTGGGAGGGCGGCCGGCGGGGTAGTGGTGAAATCCTTCTGGGAAGAGCAATGCAGGACTCCGGGGCTGGCCCGTGCTGGGCGCCAGCCCAGGCTCCGCCCTTCCTCTCCGAGGAAACTGAGGCACGGGGGGGATGCCACTGCTTTGCACACAGCTGGTAACTGATAACCCCAAACACAAATCTGAACCGGTAGTCAGAGATCGCGGGACTCTAGGAAGAGCTGTGGCTCAAGACCGGACCCCACGGTGACCCACCCTTGCCCCCTTGCCCGGGGCCGAGGCTTCACTTCCGGCTCTGCTGCGATTATGCCATCGCCTCAGGGCCGCAACTTCCCAGCTAAGTCAGTTTCCACGCTGCCTCCAGAGCGCGTCCTGTTTTTTGTTTTTTTTTCCAACTTCAAAACTTTGCACATGCAGTGTTCCTGCCAAGAATGCCCTTGCCAGGGCCCTCCCTGGTGGTGCGACGGGTTAAAGCACAGCGTGGTGAAGCGATCCCGCAGTCGCTGCAGCAGGAGTTCGATCCCCGGCCAGGGAGCTGACCCAC